ATGAAAATAACAACACAGCATAATCAGCTACATCCTTACACTACAAAGACAAAACTAGAAGAGAGAATGGCTGCTCTCCTTCTTCTTCAGAACATCAAAACAAAGACGGGAAGAGAAGCCATAAAATGGTAATACACCTTGACACTTTAGTCCCAATCAAATCCCTAGATCAGGGAGAAAATTCCCGGGCTTCCTACATCTAAAGAACATTGGTTACATGAGAAACATGTGACTTCCTGTGAGCAACATAAACAAACATTTAACCCCAGATATACTGAGTGTTTTCAACTTTTAACAAGCAGTGAAGCCCATTCGTGGGCACCAACACATTTCCTGGGGAGGCCCAGTTCATCAGGGAAGGACAGGAGGCTGGAAGGGGGAGTGTCCTCGTCGGAGGGATGGAGAAGCACGGGGATATCGGGAGGGGAGGCAGCTAGAGCGCGGGTGTGTGTGTGTGTGTGGGGGGGGAACCTTTCAGAGCGCCGCCCCTGGAGAGTGCTGGGAGGGGGAACTCCCCGGCCTCGTCTCCCACTGGGCGTCCTGACACCGGTTGCTGCTTCTGGACTTCGCCCTCCTCGCTGGAGCTCCCCCTCGTCTTCCCGTCTCCCGTCGGCCGTTTGCCAGCCTTGGTCCTCAGCAAGGGCACGGCCAAGACCTACATAGCAGCCAAGATCGCGCGTGTGAAAGACTGGCACTGAAAGAAATGGGCGCTATAGAAAGTTTAGCATTTGTGCCGCGCTTGGGGCGCCCTCACAGGGCTCGGGGAGGTACATCCGGATGGGTAGCCCTGTTAGTCTGGCTGCGGCAGTAGAAAAGAGCAAGAGTCCAGTAGCACCTTAAAGACTGACAAAATATGTGGCAGGCAGTGGTATGTGGTATGAGCTTTCATGAGTCACTGCTCACTTCATGAAAGGAGGAGGAGGAGGAGAAGAGCAGCAATGACTCATGAAAGCGCATCCCCTGCCACAAATGTTGCTAGTCTTTAAGGTGCAACTGGACTCTTGCTCTTTTCTAGGGTTGGGGAGGGAGGGGGAAGGGGTGTACTTCAGCCGAACTCTTGGCCTGCTTTGCAAGGCTATTTGCACAATATGGTCTACTGAAGTTCTTTCAAGGTTTTTTTTTCCTTTTTCTTTCAGTTGATCTTTTCTGACTAAGGAGGTTTCTCTGCTGGGGGTCCTGCACAGGTCGCCTGTGTGTGTGAGTGTCGGGGCTGGTTTTTGCGGCTCCCAGTGAAACGACGCTGTCGCAAATTTAGACAGGTGATAAAAGAGATGAACACAGACCATTCCTGCATACATTTCCGCTCTGAAGAAAATGGGGCTTACGTCCAGTAGACTTGCTTAGGATTGGCCAGCTCAGTCCAGAAGTGAGGATTTGAACCGGGGACTGCAACCTTGCCCGGGTCTCCCTGGACCCAGTCTGATTCCGGCCCCGGCTGTTGCACATTCCCCGCCCCGGGCGCTTCGGGGCTGGCTCCTTCGCCGCCTCTGCTTCTTTTCCCCCACCCCCCTGTCCTTCCTGCCCGGCCCGCCTGGCCGCCGCTCTCCGGGCCGCCGCTGCTGGAGAACAAGGAGCGCCACACACCAGCCCCCTCCCCCCCGGCCAGAGGGACCCCGGGCCGGCCTCTCCGGGGCAGGAAGGGCAGGTTGGCCGGGGCCAGGCGGGAGGGGAGCCGCGCCCGGGGCCGCAGTGCCAGCCCAAAGGGAAGAAGCCCCCCCCCCCCAAAAGCCCGGG